ATCCCACACACAAAAAGTTTTAATGTTAATTGATAGATTTTTATAAATTTTTGAATATTACAGAATATCTATTTTATAAGTAAATAATAATTAAAAAATATAAATGTAAATAAAAATAATACTATTAATTATTAATATTACTAATAATTAGTATTAATTTATATTTTATCATTGTATACATATTTCAAAATGAATACAAATATAATTAATAATGAATCTTATTAAAATATATTAATTATAATTTTATATTAAACCGTATGTATGTGTATATTTTACTGTATACCCCCTAAAATATTTATATAGGTATATAACAATAAATTATATTTTAATAGAATAATATTATAGAAATAATACAAAATATTTGTATAAATATTTGTATAAAAAATATATATAAATAAAAATATTATTTATATATTTCACATTTTAATTTTACAGGTCTCAAGCTCACACTTGTTTCTAGACTTAATCCGCTGGCAAAAGACTAATCCTGTAACTTTGCAGTCGTCTTAGGGCATTCTGGGTAAAAATGCATTCATATTGTGATTCACAGGGTTTAATGTCTCTTAGATCAGAGAGCATCAGTTTTTCTCTTCTTCAGTTTGGACCCCTACAGTTATTTTGGCTTGCTTTTGATGCTACTCCTCTTTTATTACAGTCATTTAAGCCTTAAAAAGTTGAGAGAAGCTTAAAACTGTAAAAACTAAGAACATGGCAGGAACCAGCCTGACAGCGACAAGCAAGCACTTTTTTGGTGGCTTGGTTTCTATTTCTTTCTCAGTGATTCAGTCTCAGTGAAAATTCGAAAGTATTTTGTTTAAATAAATAAAAAAATATAACAATAAATAGTCAAATGAAATTAACTCTGGGTGATGAAAGGCATTTCAGTGTTATAAAGGTAATCTAAATGTAAAAATAGGTGAAATTAACTGCACAAAATAAATAAGTAAAATAAAATCCAATATTGACCAATAGAGGTTTACGAAATTGTTTGTTTGTTTGAAAAGTACTAAACCTGCCTCAAGCTTCAAGGCCTGGGGCCTGTTTCTTAAAACAAGTTTACCAAATAAGCCGGGCTTATTTCAGTTAGTCTGACTTATTTTGAACCAAATCCACTGACAATAAGTCAGACTAACTTAAATAAACCTAGTTTATTTGGTAAACTTGTTTTATGAAACAGGTCCCAGGTTTCATTGGCAGGGCTTAGACTAAGCCAGCATTAGGCCATAGTTTAATTAGGACATTTAAGTAATTTTTATAAGCGTGCCTTAGGGGGGGGAAAAAAAACTTTACTGGTGTCCCTCTTGAGACAAAACAAAGGCATTGATTTATTTTAAGATCAATAAGTGCAAGTTTCTTTCAGTGGAAACAGCTCAGACTTACATTTTAGTCTGGGACTAGGCTTAAGCCTTGTCTGTGAAACCGGGGGCAAGAGTTTCACTGTTTGTTTTCTTGTAATCTGGTTTCTAGTAAAGACGATATCGTCACACTTAATCTGATATGGACGTAAACAGCTGATTGCGTTAAATAGTCTCAGCTCGCTGACGTAACTGCTCTTTCCCTCTCTCTCTCATTCATTCTTTGACTGACTGAAGTCTCCAACCAAGTGGTATACGAAGCTGGTTCCTGTAAGTGTGATTGAGAAGCGCCTTCTTCCATCTCGTGGCTCCATCATGTTTCTGTTTCCATGACGACACTTTCACATCGTCCTCAGCTTCATTAACCATGCCAACCAACTGAAATAAAAAAAATTAACTGTTGACAGAGAAATATTTATATTAGGCTGAGTGAAAAATAGATTTTATGTCACCATCCGTTAAAGTTCCCATTGCATGTCTTATTTTCAGTGCTTTTCCATACACTGGTCCATCGTGAGCTCTCTGTATGTTATTATCAGATATGTTTTGCTCTACTGAGTCATTTGTTTATGTCTGTTTGCTCCAGGTGCGTTATAGGAAGGAGCAGGTTCTGCCCAAGATGGTGCCGTGGATCCCTCCGGTGGACAACCTCCTGAAGGACAGCACAGATGGCTGTGCCCTCGCCGCCCTGCTGCACTTTTACTGTCCCTCCATCGTCCACCTGGGAGGTACAGAAACCTGCCAAACCCTCAACATTACTGAGCACAAAATAATACGCAACGATCAGAGGGACTAGTGTGCGGGAGCTGTTGAATCAAAACCAACCGTATTTACTTACACATGCTGTACATGCTGTTATTGTACACAGATCAGCAGTAGAAATGCATGTGATATGCAAAAATCCAGGGTTATTTTAATATCGTGGCAGTGGATGATATACTCATGGAGATATTTTTTCACAACATTTTGAAAATGTACAATAGACGAATGTAATAAATATACAATAGATGAATGTTTTTTCCTAACATTTCTTAAAAAAAACTAGTGCTGTCAAATGATTAATCGCGATTAATCGCATCCAAAATAATATATGTGTATACTGTGTATATTTATTATGTATATATAAATACACACACATACAGCATATATTTTGAAATCATTTACATGTATATATTTATATTCATATAATTTATAATATAAATATATTTAATATATAAACGTAACATATTTTTCTTAAATATATACATGCATGTGTTTGTATTTATATATACATAATACACATATATATTATGTAAACAAAAACTTTTATTTTGGATGTGATTAATCGCGATTAATCATTTGACAGCACTAAAAAAACACATACACAGTGATGTTATGTATTAGTTTAATATGTTTAAATTATAAAATAAAAAAATATAGTATTAATATAAGTATATTATATTTGTATTTTTCCACAATATTTTAAAAAATATTTTGGAATATACAATAAGCACATTTTATAACATTTCATTTAAAAACAAAACAATCAAATATAATGTTTACTTTTATATTTTTGTATTATTAAATTATTTAATAATACTTTGTATTAGTATTAATATTAATACAAGTATGATATTATTATCTTGATATTTCTTTTTTTTCCCCACAATATTTCACAAATGTTTTTCATCAAACAATATCCACAATAATATTGTGCATTATTTTAATATTTTATATTATTAAAAATTACTACTAATAAAAGTTTAATATTACTATATTTCTATTTTTTCACAATATTTAAAATTGTTTTTAGAATATACAATAAGCACATTTTAATAACATTTCATTAAACAACATAATCAAATGTTTATTACTTTTATGTTTTTGTATTATTAAATATATAAATATAAGTATCATTACATAAGTATATGATTATATTTCTATTTTTTCCACAATGTTTGTAAAATATTATACAAGAAACATCATCAAAGAAAACAATATCCACAATAATTGTGTATTATTTTACTATTTTATATTATAAAAAATTATAGTACTAATAAAAGTTTCATATTATTTTATTTATTTTTTCACTATATTTTAAAAATATTCTACGAGATACAATTGATTTTTTTCAAAATATTTCATCATAAAAAGCAATATCTACAATAGTAGTGTGATATTTTTATATTATTAAAAAATTTTTTGTAGTAATACAAATATAATATTATTGTATTTATATTTCCCCTCAATATTTTAAAATTATTATGCAATATTTTAAGTTGTTAAAGCCCAGACAAATGTTTTTGTTTCATAAAATTTCACAATAAAACCATAGAAAATTAAAATCTACATAGAAAAAAATGTTTGGGAAAAAATATAAATATAATCAGAAGTTATATTGGGATTTGTTATGTAAGAGGCTCTGTGGTTTCAGGCTTTTCGAGGGATGCACATGCGTATGCAAAGCCTACAAAAAATATCAGTTGACAAACTAAAATTCTCTGCTATGAACACTAAAATGCTCAGTAGTAACCTTTTGAAGTAGTCTATAAGCTTCCTCCTCTTGGTTCCCTCATATCTTTAACGTCTGAAACTTTGAGATTGGATCATTGGAGGGAAACAAACTTGCGACTTACATATAATATATTTTTTAAATGTTATTTTTAAACGTGCTACAAATCCGTTTCAGCCATTTTGCTTTAAAATAGTGAATACAATAGTCTTCAGCTACTCAATTAGAAATCTCAAACGTTTATGTGACTTTAATCATCCTGAACTCACTGTTAATCCCATCACAGTGATGAAGAGACTAGAGCTGATTCTCCACCGAGCTGTGAAATCAAATGATGGATGCAACTACATTTATCTCCAAAGGCAAAAGTCAATCACGTGACTGTCATTTAGACTCCATGATTAATGGGCTTCTCTGTGATTGGTTGAGTCCTTGTCAAATCTACCAAATATGCCGGATGATCTGTCAGTGAGTTGCGCCTGATTAGTGTAGCACTTTGAATCGTCTTTGATTTGCAGACATTTGCCTGAAGGAGACCATGTCGCTGGCAGACAGTCTGTACAACCTGCAGCTCATCCAGGACTTCTGCAAGGAACACTTGAACCACTGCTGCCACTTCAATCTGGAGGACATGCTCTACGCTCATTCGTCCATCAAAGTAAGCCTTCAGATACAACTTGTGCCTAGATTTGGTTTCAGTTGGAAGCGTTTTAGAGCTCAATGCCATTAGAGTTCTCCAAGTTCCTTGCCTTTACGTTTCATCGGTTGATGCGTTTATAACTGTAGGTCAAGGTTTGTCAAATTTTTATAGGCCACAACATATGCGATTTGGTGGGATGCTGTTATTTGGAGCCCTTTTCTCGCAATAGCGCAAGCACTGCCTGTGGGAGTTGGCTTTATTCCTGTTAAAAAGCCAAAAGCATGAGGCTTGCCTTCAAACGTTGGTGGTGCTTAAACCAGCCTCCCAAAGGAAGTAGATTCTCTAAAGACCGGTGCAGTTGACTAAAACAGCAATAAAATCACATTAAATGTGCCTAGAAGATATTTAAATATAGGAATCATGGTTTATTAGATAAGCCATTATGGAAAGATCTAAAGAGCCTGAGAGTTTTTTAAGCCTAGACCTATTTTTTTGCTTTTATTCTGTGCTTTTCTCTGTGAAATACCTCCTTTTTGTTTTTTGATTTTCTTCTTCTTAAGATATCAAAATGTTATTAAGAAATGGAAAAATTTTGTTTTGCGAGCTAGATACCGTCAAACTGGAGATCTTTACCTTCAGACTACTTCGACAGTTATAAACCACTCTATGGACTTTCTTGGGATCAGATGGAAGTGAAGACCAGTAGTTTTTTTTAATTCTGAATATTATGTCTTTATGTCTTTGATCTCGGTCCTCTCTGGACTGGAGAGAAAGAACATCTGCTGCCAAGATTTTCAGTCGTGTTGACCGAGAATCCTTTGGTTCTTCTTGGGATGTTGATGCAACACAACAGACATTTCTGTTCCATCAACATGAAATAGAACGGTTGGTTTCAGTGGCTGTGAATGTGAAGATGTAGCTTGGCATTTTGTGGTAAAGATTTGGAAACCTGGCCACGCTTATTAAACCACAACGAGGTTGTTTAAAATCACCTTAGTGACCAACTCTAAACCGAGAGCAATGCTACTGGAATCAATGTTCCACCTGATTTTTGTTTAATCTCTTATTCCACAAATGGTAGCAAAATCTCACAGCGTGTTGGGTTTTATTAGCACCGAACAGCCTCTGGTTAGAGGACATGAGCAGAGTCTGATACAGTGCCAGACTTCAGAGCTGAATCTCAGAAATATGAGTGGAATTGAGAGCAGGTTACTGAGCTGTAACCTTGACCCAGTTTCTGTCAGAGCTAATCTAATCCCAGCTGCTTCCTTTTATTAAAATGTTCAGTGCGGTTAGCACATGTGCTTCATGTGCTGAAATGCAGGTTTGAATCTGAACTGTATTGTGACCTGATCTCATTTCCGTCATCTTTAATTCCGGGCTGCTCTCAACTGTATAGTACAAAGTTCAAAAAATCCAAGTTAAAAATTAAATAGATAAACAAATGAATAGAAGTTTGATGTATATTTATAGAATTTTGAGAAAATAATAAAAATTGTACATTTAAAATGTATATTTTCTATATATATTCTAGGCTATATATTTGTTTTTCTGCAATTTGCAAACTTGTCTGGGTCCTTTCTCAATTAATTTTTGGTTCTCCAAGATTCACCAGTAATAAGCTGCATATTTTGAAAACAATGTTTGAAGATTCAGTTGGCATGCTGTTATTAAGGAATTTGCATACGGGAAGCATGATTAATTTTTTTAACATTATTTTAAAAATAATTATATATACTAAATTAACACTTTAAATTGATATCCTTAATTAAAAGCAACATTTTATTCCCTGAAACTACAGATAAGCCATCTAATTATACATTTACGCCTTTTGTGTGAATAAGTACGTAGACAGGCAGATGGGGGAGAGGACGCATGTGCCAAACACCATCTGGGTACAAACACGCGCCTGCTCCGGCTCTCTCAACCACTCAATACAAATGTTGCCAGTGGAACCCTTTATTTATTCCTTTAGTTATTGCCAGTAGCAGTGGTAGATTGGGTTTCATGATATTCCATAAAATTAGTGAGGTTGTGTACAAATTTCACCATGGAGTATTTTAATTAATTGACAATGGGTGACTTTGTCTTTGTTAATTTGCTAGTATGTGACATTAATGTTATTATATTATTAAAGGCTGTTGCAAATGTTAACAACTGATGCCTTGGATTATATGAATAAATGCTTTAATCATTTGGTTATATGCATTAGTTGCGACTTTGAGAGTCTAGAGCTACTCTAGGCTATAAAGGGAGTAGGGCTGCACGATAAATCGCATGCGATATTTAACGCGCATCTTATCAGTAAAGCCGGTTATGTAATCAGCTGTAAATCTCCATCACGTGCGTGCTTTCACATTGAGCAGCATTAACTACACAGAGCCGTTGTTCACTGACGAGCTGCGCAAAACCACGTTCATATTCGCGCGATTTTTTGCGCAGCTCGTCAGTGAACAACGGCTCTGTGTAGTTAATGCTGCTCAATGTGAAAGCACGCACGTGATGGAGATTTACCGCTGATTACAGAACCAGCTTTACTGATAAGATGCGCGTTAAACATCGCATGCGATTTATCGTGCAGCCCTAAAA